GCCGTTGCCGGCGGCCGATGCACGCGGGTCGAATACACTATCAGATAGCTATAGTTGGTGCTGAGCACCGTTAGTCAAAATGTTTCCATAGCAATAATGTTACTTTGTTCGTCTGTTATTGCTGCGGTTGTTTTTGCTTCTGATGCCGCTGCTTATAGATACCACGCCATTTGAATACGATGACAGCTCATCTTCCAGTAGAGCTAGAACCAAATGACGACAAGAAGAAAAAGATAACACCTCAAAATACACACAGACCCAGAACATAATAAAAAGAATGACCAGGGCTCTAACAGCTAGCAGCCGTCGTCATTTGCCGTATGTTACTTTTATGTGTGTATCAGTGCGAACGGTCATATGTTTTGAGCGCGCGCGCTCGCGTCTGCTCTGCGAACTCCGTTACCCTTCATTCAGTTGCATCTGGAACACCAAGGCCAGCCCCAGTCGTGTTCGATGCTCCCGCTCGTATCACTGTCCTCCGATACGGCGATAGTTACATTTCTATACATCGAACTTCTGCCATTGGAGAGACGAACCAACGCTCGAAGTGGCGAAAGATCTAGCGTGTGTATGTGTTAGTGATGTGTGGCTGGCTTGTGGTTTTGAGCATTTGGATGAAACAACATCCGAGATAACAAAAACGGGACGAGATCACGTCGTTGTATCTGAAAGGACCGGATAGCCCTAGGAGGAAAGCATCAGCAGCAGGGCTCGTTCACAGGATGACTGAAAAGCAGACGCGTTCAGCGATGACAGGCCGATGAGTCGATGCTGGCGTACGGCGGGGAACGCGAAAGCGAATTGTCAATATTCGACGAATTTCGTGCAAAAACGGTGCGTCAGAAAAAGGAATAGAGAGGAAAAGACAGGAATAGTAAGGAAGATACCTCATAATAACTAACAATAATGGGTTTCGTTAGAACAACAGGAACCGTTAATGCGAATATTGATGGGGTGCGCAAGGGAAAGAGAAGAATATGATAGAAGTCACATGTAGTTTGTTTTTGATTTTCAGATGGCAAAACACTCTTTATGCGCCGTTCTTACATTTATCTTTAGCGCGAATACGGGTCCGCACCAGCAACTGGGTACCAAAAGGTCTTCACTTCTAATCTGGTTGGGCACCTACAGACTGATGTGGTCTCGTGATTATAAATTTGTTGATAGAATAAACTATTACTTAAAAGATAACAACAAATAAAACATAACCGCATTATTCGTAGAGTATTACACATCCCTAGAGTATATTGCAGCGTATGTAGAACGTCGAGATTTCACGGTCATATGAAATGGGGTAACTCAGATAGCTAGGAATATAATATTCAAATTAGTGAGCTAATTTATGGGGAGACTGACGACAACAAACCTGTTGTGGACCATATTTTTCAAATAACCTTTCGTCAATATTATGAAATCGGACCCACTCATCGGCACCTGACAGCCAATATAGGAAGCCCAGAAAAATGGTGTCGCATATACAGCTGTCATTCGTACATTTACGTATCTATAATACTTTCTATATTTCAGGCAAGACCGCCCATAGGACCAGGACTAATCGAAGCATCAAGGCCCGTCACGTGACCATTACAATCGGAAGTACAGTGGCAACCGCCAAGAACTCGGAAACGAGGCCACCCAAAACATCTCTCTTTCCGAACGCCAAAACGTCTCTCTCATTCAGGCCATACAGCATGCAAGGCCTCCCAGGCGTTCTATGAAAGCTCTTGTTTCAAATAGGTGTAGGCCAGAAGCAGCTGCCTAGAATTCCTTCACCTGCCCCCCTTCTGCAATGGCCGCCGCCGCCGCCGCCTCCTCCAATCAAGACTATCTGGATCACCTGTGCCGTTTACCTTACGCTTTCGCCGCACGAACGACTAGCCTTCACCCAACTGCGCGGCCGATTGGTACACAACATGCCGTATGCTGTGTAGTCACAGCGATACCTCAAGTCGACGGCAACAGCGGCTTTTCGAAACTTCCATCCATCTGTCAAAAACGTTTCATCTGCCTTTCGGCCTATATTCGCCTGGCTGTTTCTGTTTGAAATCATATTTAGCCTCGATTCAAAATACGATCAAAAGTGTGTATATATATGGGTCGGCCAACGCCTTTGATCTTCACGCCTGATTTCGGAGCATCGACAGACTTCGAACAGAGTTTAGCAGCACAACAATTCAACGAATTCCTCAACGGTACTCTACTGAGTAAAGTGAGTGTCGCCCACGACACTGCTATGGCTATATATATCCACTTGCAAATACTATCAAAAGCAATACACCCTGGATAGCTTAGTCGGTAACGGCATCATTTTATCAATCTTCATTTTGTACGTATATTTACACGATGGCCTGGGTGAGAGCGCGTAGAATGGTGTACTTCATCGACACGTCACTATGGCAGGTAGATGCGTTACTGTTCCTGCCCGCAGCGTTTGGCCTCGCGCAGATATTTCTATGGGACCATTACGAGTGTATCATTCAGTGATGACTAATGTTTGTTTTTAGGTGTTTATTTTAAATCACACTTAAGAACAAACGTGGAGTAGCAGTAGAAAACCACTGCTGCTATTGAAACATTGGACTTATAATAAATAGCCGTTATTCGCAATTAGCAATAAAAAGGAAAGGGTTCTATTGTTTTTTTAGCAGTGTGTACCTTGTAAGTCTATCCATTGTTTCATTGATTGCCTAAATTACAGTAGACGATGTATCGATCTATTTGCATACTACGATAAAAATTACAAAAAATACATTAAAAAAATCGAATGAGTAATTGTTGTACTCATGTACTTTCCTTGAGAAAACGTTCTTCTGGAACGTTTTATTCAACTTCTACATACAAAAATGATCATCAACTTTTATTTGATTTTTGTCCGTTTTGTCCGTAACCTTCTTTTTTGTATGCATCTTTCGTTCGTATTAAACTCAAAAGAGCTTAACGCGTGGAAATCCGCTCGAGGGCATGTCACGCCTGTTTTGCAACGGGCGACGTTTGCCTTCCTGCGTTCTCCATATGTGTATCATAAGTAAATACATACTAAGCACTGCACACAGTTGCCGCTGCATAGGTGTAGCAGGTCATACCTGGCTAGAAAACGCGCTCACAGTCCATAACAGGAAACAACGACAGTAGACCGCAGTCGCGCGCGGATCATATGGACGGGTGGGCACGTGTCTCCTTGAACTCCTCTTGGCAGCTTGAATTGGTTTCCTTTAGCAGAACCAGGCCACTAGCTTTCTTCGCAGGTACTCGCTTCGATGGCTTATAGGAACGAGTTGCTTCCAAGTTGTGACCAAGATGGCGCGACACGGCCGGCCAGGTTGGCGACGGCAGTTGACGCTAATCTCTTTAACAGCCGCAAAACTCGCACATACGACGGCACAAACCCGAAAGCGCACACATATTGGATTCCAGTTAGATAGCGGCGCAGCGCCGGAGAAATGCAAGCGTGACAATGGTGAAAGATTAAGATCACCTCCGGGTCGCCTAATCACCGCCCGGTCGGCCGAGATGACTGAAGCATCTGAGGCAGTTGCCGGCCTCCACAGTTTCCGAAATAAGGCTGCTCTGCGCACTCTTCTTCTTAACTGCCAGTGCAATAATGAAAATGAAAAAGATCTCCCTGGGAAGATTAAATACAGCAGTGGCTGTTGCAGCAACTTTAAGCAAATCTCGAACATTCGCGCAGCATCCCCTGGCCCCTGGGGGTCTCCTGTCTGAACTAAAACACCTTGCAGCCATAAACGGAGAGACAACTAGGCCAGCACGAAAAGAAGCGAATATGAAATTAATTGCGATCAATATATATATATATATATATGTGTGTGCGAATGTGTGTGTACGAGGTTTTGTTCTATGATGGTCGTCATGATGTTCTTCATTTTGCATTATATAGCAGTCTACAGTGGAATAGGGCGATGATGGCCTCAAGTGGTTGTTTGCCGGAGCGGGTTCTTACTACTTAGGTGTACGATGTCTAGTCAATTCGTAAGCGGCAATATCTCATGCATATGTATGAAATGCAGGGAGTCGCGAACTAGAGAGAGAATTAGAGGCAACGAAGGCGAGATAGGAATTGATATTCCAAATCGTCGAAGCCAGGTTAGAAGAACGGTGTCCATTTCACTTTGCTGCGGACACCTGTACGAGTTATCCGGTGCAAGCAGTAGTATTTCGTAGACCACCCAACATATTCGGTAGAATAGGCCACATGGCTAGATCAGCCATCGTATCATACAACAGCTAGCACCTCGAAAACTGTGCGCCCGTATACTGTAATAGATAGTAATGGCAATGAAAGCGCTGATCTCCGTTCTCACAACAATCATACGCCCAAAGCTCGTCTTCTTCAATTCAAGTGCAACTGCTTTGTCAACAGATCTCGTCTTCCTCTAGGAGGAGAAGGCCACACGTTAACCTATACTTGAATGCAGGGACCCGCCTGTCACTAATCTACTCAAAAAAAGTTTAGTCCATTATCCTCACCCTTTTGAGGCCTGAATATTGAAAGTATATGAGCCCATCTATTGCTTGTGGCTGCACACTGCCGAGCCATCGGGATGCTAGAACTGAGGATGGAGTCATATTAGGTTAGATGTAGGCAAACCGGCAGTGGGAAAAATCGCAGACCCCAGACTGGGGTAAGGGTAGATTCGTGTATGGGCGTAGCGAGGTAACAGCAAGCTCCGCTTTGAGTCAAAAGCAGACGGTCAGTTGGTTCCAGTTAAAACAGATTTCAGATCAGTTATTTTTTAGTTGTTGCTTGTTCTGTAACTGCGGAGCGACGTCTTTCAAACCTACACGTGAATCTATTTTGTACTGATTGCTGTGTAGCTGATATTGTTGACACGTAGAAGGTCCCTCAAGATGTCGTATATTACGTTAGAAGCAGAGATCGCTCAGGTAAGGTCAACGTGTCCAATTTATTCTAATTTATTCGCTCTTATGACCTGAATAAAGGATATTAAAGCTTAGAATCCGAATAATAATTTCGAATGTCGCCATTTTTCATTCCATCACCTTATTTTATTTTATTTTATTTTTACACTTATTGAGAACCGTTTCAGTGTTAGATAAGCAATAAATTTAGCTAGCAAATTATTATTGCTTAGAAGTGTTATCATTCCAAGGTAATAAAAACTATGAATAAAATTTGTGAGTACAGCGAGAGCGTGCTGGGAGCCATACGCGTTACTATGATGTTGTAGACTCACAGAGTGAGTGGCGCTGACAAAGAAAGAGTCTTGTCTTTGTTGTCCGCTATAGATAATGGGCCTTCAATACAGAATACGCTGCAACTTCCCACTCCCCGTCCCGAAACTGAATCTGAGGGGTTGAAGGGAATCATCACAATGTGATCTTCACTGCGCAAACAACAGTGGCAGTAGTAACAATTACTGCCACAGTAGCTGAATCACGATAGCGACTGTTACAGTCACAGTGGACCCTCGAGGACAAATCATTCACGACGAATGAAATTGGGGGTTCGAGAGTATGCGAGGGTAGCGACAATGAAAGCTCTCGTATTTGTAGTTGATAAGCCTGTCTGATTTTGGGTGGTCTATGAAAGTGGATACTTCACGGGAGATAACGATAGCTCGAAACAGGGCCATCAAGAAGAATAAGCTGCTTGATCGGCTCGACATCGGGCGATGAAAGTAAGATTTGACACAACTGCACCTTATCATGATAAGTTTCTTGTTATCCCGACAGATTGTGTTGTACGAACAAGATTCTAAAAAAATCAAAACCGAAAAACAATGACAGAATAAGATTTGCAAGGTAAAGTAATTAGTTGACTGTGTTTTAAGAGCTGTTATTTTTGGTAGAAGCGTTATGACGAAATAAAATCAAATTGTCCTACTCAGTAGGTCTGATTAGCAGGACGACAAGTAGGCCGCCCAACTCGCACGTGTTGTATTAGAAACGAGTAACATTCATTCGCTATACGTATTGACCTTGTTTGCTACCTTACATACGGTTGTAGCACTTAGCCACGACCATCTCTTTCCGACTCAGTTAATCATCGTTGTAAACATTGGCGAAGAATATAGCGAATAAATCTAAGATGACCTCTTGAGCATGCAGCAGAAATGATCATGAAATATTCTATTGAGAAGAGCATTTAAAATATTTTACAAGTTCCTACACAGCTTTCTTCACGGAGCTTCTCGAACTTTACTATCTTTTCGCTAACTTGTAAGCAGTCTCTTTGCTTAGCCCTAATAAGGCTAGTATCTTTCAAATGAAACAGAACAGTACCAGAGAAAACCGTATGTCTCACTCAAAATACGACAGAGTACGTTAAAAGCAAATTTAAAGATGCAGAGTACATTCAATATCTCTTCGACGTGTAAGAAATGTAAGAAATTGTTCATTCAGTAGATGAAAAAATACTTTCATTATTAGAAAAAAAACCGGTCCTGGATTATTAAACTGTTTGAGGCTATACACTGCGTTTGTGAATAGTTAATATGCTACGATAAGGTAGGTTCCTTTTGCATGTTCAGCCGGATTTGGACACATGTTCACTACAAGCTAAAACCGAGACATTTAGAATGACGCAACAAATATAAAATCCAACATTCTACAGTTACAGGTGTATGTTTTAATAGTACATGAGTCTTGCCGATGGCTATTAGTCTCATTAATGGTGGAATAAACGCAGTCCAGTGTGTATGAGGGTGATATTGTGCTCGTTACAAGCTTGGATCACACCATCATCATTAGTAGAACCACCAGGAGACGCAATGTAGTCAACGCCAGACTGTTTTGCTCTGTAAACATTTACATCGATAGTAAATGAAAAAAAACAATACAAATTAATTTCTGACTAAGCTCGAAAGCTGTCTGAAAGGTTAGTGATACTAATTAAATAATTATTCAAGGGTAATAATGATAAAATAGAGGATACTGACCTGTCAATGTTGTCGCGGAAGGGGAAAAACGCATCAGATGAGATAGTCACCTGGCTGAGCTTGGAAATCCAGTCACGTTTTTCTGCATCAGTCAGTTGCTTGGGAGCGTTCTCTAGGGAGTTCTGGTAAACGTCAGCGGGCATGTCAACGCCAATGACGCCGGATACGAACACATCGATGATGTTCGATTGTTCCGCGCGCTTCACTCCTTTCTTAAACGCCATGTTTTTGACAACGGGATGCTGGCGGAGCCACCAATTGTTGACCTTCTCGCCGGCTAAACGAGTACAGTGAATTCGAGATTGCTGACCCGCTCCAATGCCGACGATTTGTCCGTCTTTAGCGTAACAGACTGAATTTGATTGTGTGTACTTGAGCGCGATTGTCGCCACGATTAGATCCCGAATAGCGGACTCAGGCAGATTCTTGTTCTTGGATACGATGTTTTTGAAGAGGTTTCGGTTGATAACGGCGTCGTTGCGCCTCTGCTCCAAGGTAAGACCGAACAGAGTACGCATTTCCATTACACCTAATAGTTGCAGAAGCAATTAGATCGAGTACATGGGAATATATACTTATCGATACTAATAACATTAATGTAACCGCTACTATTTACGAAATATAAACACGCTCTTGCCTTCGTTGCGACACAACTTACCACATATGACGTATTTGGAGAAATAGTTACATCAATATGGCCTTGATTGAGCAGACTATGAACGAAGTTATAATCAATTCTGTACGTAAGCAACTAACCAGGCTCATAGTTCGGGTCCATCTGAAGCAAACAGTAAGCTCCACCCTTCTTCTTACGCAAGATCTCAATAGCTTCGGGAGTGTATCCGGGAGCGATAATTCCGTCAGACACTTCTCGCGAAATGATACGTGCTGTAGTGCCATCACAAGGATCTGAGAGTGCAATGAAATCTCCGAACGATGACATTCGGTCGGCACCCCGTGCGCGTGCGTAAGCCGACGAAATTGGCGTAAGGTCTTTGTACAGGTCATCGACCATGCAAAGGCGGGCATCATCGTGACTGAGGGGTAACCCTACAGCAGCACCGGCAGGACTAACATGCTTAAATGATGTAGCCGCAGGCATGCCGAGTGCCGCTTTCAACTCACGAACGAGTTGCCATCCGTTCAGGGCATCGCAAAGATTGATAAAACCAGGTGCTCCGTTGACCACTACGAGGGGCAGTTCGTTTGCCGACGTGGCTAGCTGCGCGGGCTTCTGGTGAGGGTTCATGCCATAACGCAACGGCAGGTGTTGAACTCCGGCCATGTATTCTTTGCGGAAGTAGTCCGAAATGTTGGCGTCGTATTGTGCGGTGTGGAGGAAGGCCTTAACAGCAAGCCGCTTACGCGTTTCCAGAGAGGTCGCTTTTGATGGTGATCGCGAGATTTCATTAGCAACGGCCGTATAATCCGCTGGATCGCAAACAATAGTTACCCGCTCATGGTTCTTCGCGGCCGCACGGAGCAGGGTCACCCCGCCAATATCCACCTAACATGCCAAATACAAATATCATGTATCGTGGATTTTTGCTATAACCATAACTATTTCGTCATCATCATAGAGAAGACAAGCCAGAAACCTTTATTTGAACTTTAAAATGAACGAAAAATCGTGCCAAATCTCGAGATACGAAGCGTCAATCGTACTTGAAAATGCACCATTTTTCAAAATATTCAAGCATTTTTGTAGGCGTTTAGCTGTTACTATGCGAACTAAACACTGACGTTTCACTACCGAGGTATATGATGGACGAAACCTCTATGCGATTTTTATCTGTGACTGATAAGAAGGAACAGTATGCAGTACGGCTCATTCTTTATCAGCAGCGGCGCGGCATGGCATCACTCCTTGGACTGTCGATGGTCAGATGACCTGGTTAGCCTTTTTGCAAGTATTGCATCATATACGCAGGTTATGTATTCAATATAAATGTATCTTGGGTTTTACATTACAATAAAACAGATTCTCTGTACAATAACTACAATCCGTAGCTCAAAGTGATTTGCATAGAACATTTTGATCGACAGAACATGTTGTAACAATAGAACGTGCCTGTCTTCTTATACCAATAGATTCTGTTTGGTTTCGTTTTCGATTTGTCTTACCTCTTCAACGGCTTTGGCAATGGTGACGTCCGGCTTTGAGATTGCTTCAACGAATGGATACAAATTACACACAACAACAGAGACGAACTCATAATTCTGATGCCGCATGTCAGCAATATCTGATTCGATTTTTCTCGAAAGAATCCCTCCGTGAACGGCTGGATGAAGTGTTTTCACCTAAGCAGTGTCATCGTATTGATAAAGGTTCCCACAAAAACACAGCTAAATGTGTATTATCCATTAATTAGCTTAATATGACCAGCTTGTATCCGAGATTTTTTCTTAGCTATGTCTAGAAACGATTTACATACCCGTCCTCCGAGTATTTCTGGATGACCAGTGATCTGCGAGATGTCCCTGATTTCCATACCGGCATCTCGGATGGCCTTGGCAGTTCCCCCGGATCCTGCGAGCTTATAACCTGACTGGGCCAATGCCCGAGCAAGGTCCAACAGGCCGGTCTTATCAGACACAGACAAAATAGCGATTTCGCCCGTCATCCTGGCTGCAGTGTGGACAACACGTCGAAGTACGGTTAACTTGCTAAGCATCTACCATCAGTGCACCACGGCATTGATCGCTAACTAAAAAAGAACGGATACATTGCTCTACTGGGTAAAACGCTTACTTTGAATTACTTGTTTGATTCTACCTCTTCGGTGATAACACTCGTCTTTCTCACAACCAGTCTGTTTTTTTGTTATTAGAGAGAAAGTGATTATGGAAGGCTGCGGAAGAAGCGAAGAGCCCTTGGCTGGACACGTTCGTACCCCGCGGACTGATCCTTGATGCTCATATTCAGCACAAACAAATAAAACCATGACATGACATCGTTCACTCGTTTGCAATTGACTCGACTCCTCATTGGCTTGTAGAGGTAGAAATAACAACGACAATCGGTCGGCCGTGACATGTTTACAGAGAAGCCACTGGCCGTACGCGATAGCTGAGTTGAACGTATCAGATCGGTAATATAAGATAACTTTTTCACTAAGAGAAACTCTGTATTACGTAGTTACATAGTACGCATCTACAGCTCGCTAGGAAGACGCCAGAATCTTAACAATATAACAGTACTGTTAAACGGATACTAAACCAAATTAGTGAACTTACTTTCGAGTGATCGAAATAAATCTGAGAACGTGTAATTCTATATTCCGGTTCATTATCGTTATCTTTACGCATAGAAATTCAGTCTGAAATCGTTTTATCCAAACAACGGTAACCACAGGGTGGTTACCGGCTGTCTGAGAATAGAAACGACTGATAACGGATTACAAATGGCCGCCACTGATCGCCAAAGCTGGAGCACCAGACCGTTGAGTATAGAAGGGTCCTGTACACAACCAGATCAGTAATTAATCGTCACTGAAACCTAGAGGTATGTCAATGAATACTGTTGTTAGTTGTCGTTACCACTGCAAGCAACAGACTGAGACTAGAGAATGAAACTTAGATTGTTTTACCTAGACTTTTCAACGATACCAGGAGTCGGTCCGCTTTGGCGCCATTTTGTTATTGCTCCAAGTTTGCCCGAATCGAAGCTTGTTTGTAAAATAGGCAACAAATTGGATTCTGTTAACGGCAAAGCGTCGGTAAGTACAGCGGCAGCAGCTGTAGTAAATAACTCCGAAAAAAATCACGTTACTGTAAAATCGCACTTGAAACTGACATTGAAAGTAAATGATTTTTAATTGATTCGTCGCTAAACGTCCAAATGCTTATAGCAGATACAAAGCGGAAAGGGTACCCACGATGCACTGTAGTATCTCCTTGTTTTCTGCAAATGTTTTTTCTCACGGAAGAGGTGTAGCACCGTGGCAGTGGGGCAAAGAAGAAGCGACGTTGCCTACCGCGCCAAAATGATCTTCGCGCAGCGCTTAACGACGGCCAGTCGGTAAGAAGGATCTGACAAGGATACACCGGTGAACGAATGTTTCTTGCACTTAAAATGGTTGCCTGGTTAGCTCTCAGCGTGAGACGTGTCGTCGCTGCGAGGAGGTGTTAATACGAAGAGCAAACAACACAGCTTAGAAAGTGGAATGGTCACAGTGGACTGATTGGCCAGCCGGCTGGCATTATAGTAGACATCATAATCATAGAGACACGCAGGCCTGCAACCGAGCTTGATGCTAACCGCAGTCGCCTTTGCCGTACCCGACGTCATTGTTCGGCCAACGAATACAGGAAAATTGCGCTCGCGCTAAGGAAGAGAGCTTGCAAAAATGTCTTCTTGCTAGATAGAGCAATTACTGCTATTGTCGTAGCTATCACGATAGAAATCTACCCCGATTAACGGCTCGACCACAGCCACAAAATAGGAGCCTATGGCGAGTCATGGAGTTCCAGTTTTTGGTTGACAACGTCGTCGTCGTCGTCGGTGTGAGCGCTAAGCGTTCCGCTGTTTCTCTTTAACACGTATTTGGTGCATGTTTTTGTGTGTGTTGATGCGCTTCGCGGATAGACGGTAGATAGAACGTATACGTTGTCTCAATCGGCAGTTACAGATCTGTGCGCAGCTAACTGAACTGTTTATGCATATGGCGACTTTTGGGGGGAGGAAAGAGTTCGCCAGTTTTTACGACCGTTGCCGTCTTGCGCAGCGGGAACAATTGGAACCTACACACGAGCGCGCAGAGAGACCACCACTTAGCTTCCCGGCGCTCGAGTGGAGGAAGTTCTAGAGATTATCTCATGATCGCACAGAGAGATTAGTTCTCTACCGAAAAACCGTTGCACTACTGATAACACTACTATCTAGGCAGATCAGGGTAATGACAGATAGGGTAGGCAATGATGGATGTGAGTCATCCAGAAACGTGGACGGTAACAAACGGCTGATTTGATGACGTTGCTAGGTTAAGATTATATGTCTTTAGGATCGTTATGAAAGATGAGCGTTTAGATAATACTGATATCCGATCAAAATACTAATAATAATAACAGAGATATACGCATAGATAGATAACCTTGCAATTGAAATTGCCTGTGTTATTGTTCTTAAAGCCATTATGGAAGATAAACAAACATAACTAGTTGCATTGTTCGGCGGCTAAATTTTTAACATCCTATGAAACATGTAGAATCATTTTATGTGAAATGGAGTATGTAAATCACATATTTTCGTATTACTTCGAAGAAAAACAAACGTTATAGACAACGGGGAAGTATTGAGTGGTGCTGAACAAAATGTTGTTCTCAATTGACACACCTATAACAAAGTCAGTAATCGTAAATACAAAGCTCCGTTGCTAGCAGCAGCGTGCTCTTATCGTGCTTCTTTTATGCATTACAATATAATAAATAGTGTTCTGTATATTTCGTTTGTGATTAAATTATTTGCTCACGGGCAAATACGTTAACTCAAATGTATCGAGTTGTGTGGTTTGCCATGCAAATTTGGTAGCTCTATAACAATGATATTCACGTCGCCTTTGTATCTACTTCGTCAGCCAGGCTGAATGTATGATCTTCCTGATGAAGCGAAGAGAAGAACCTATCTAGAATGCGTTCAATAATCTAAAATTCATTGTATCTTTGACTACATTTACTTTCTGACGATATTTCCAGCTAGCAGCAGCTTTCCTTTCCGAAGAAGGAAATGACCTACCTGTATCGATGGGAGTGAACACAAACCGATGAAGATTTTAATTAGCTGTACAATCAGCCTTTCGTGGCAGCGGCACCAAGAGCAGCAATCGCCGACTATCTTCTATGGAGGCCATCGGCACCAAGAAATTGTGCACGGTTATAGAAATAGACTTCAGCGTTTTGCGCCTAACACTTTACATATGATGTCGATTGGCCCGGGGCAGTCGATTGTTGGGGGCTTGACAATATGGCTCTATACACATAGAAACAAGCTCATGCACACATGAATGTAATAGGCAGCTTTCGGTTCGGTCGAAACCAGATTCGGTTGAAGGCAAGCGACTTCGAAATCCTCGATCCCGGCGTTATCAGGCCCTAGCCCTAGCCAAAGGCATAAATGGTAGCCAAGGACAGAGAAAACCTCCTCCAATTTATTCTGGGTCTAAAGTAGCACCAGCGAACAGCAATGGAGGGAAACTAAGTGAAAGAGGGAAGGTGGGGACCCAAGAATCGAGGGGAAAATTCTCCGAGGGGTTTTGTCGTATCCGAGGGGAGTCAAGCGTTTCCGCCTGAATATCGAATTGTGTTGACTCGGAAGGAAAAGGAAGTCCACTCTTGACAAATGAACATGGACGGATAGGGAACGAACGCTTTATTGAGAAGAGATCTCAGCTACAACATCGAGCTAACATCGGGACAGCTACGAAGCCAGGTGGCCGCCGAGTCAAGAGGTCGCTGTTACCGATCGATAGAACAAAGAGTCGAGAAGGAATCCTTTTTCCTGTCTTTATATGCGTATAATTACATTCATAATCGATGAGTCTTCGAGTGGGCACGTTCAAATTACTTTCGTGTATATGCATTACATGGTGAAACTGCTGCACCCGCTACTAGTGTTATTATCACATGCGGATATTGGCGAACTCCATGTGTTAACAACTAAGTAGCATCATTATTTGTAACCTTACTACAACTAGGCTGCTTTATCGGGTGTTTTTTTTTTTGTTTTCTTCACCAGCTTTATTCAGTCCTTAGCCGTCAGTTCGGTTAATTGCCCTGGCCTTTGTTTGATTGTTTATAGCATGGTCCCTTAGTATAAAAACCGTATTTTCGTAGAAGCTACCATTTAGGTGAAGGAGGCTAGTCCTGACAAAATGCTCGGCTGGAACATCGATCGTAAAAAGTCTTGCACTGGAATGGCCCATTGGTCGCTAGTGTATTCGGCAAACGCCTCGAGCTTAACGTAAAAACACGCAGTTCGTTAGAATAAAAGGCCCAAAATATCGGTCCAACAGCATTTGACGACCTACAGTTTGGTATAGGGTTACTTTGTGCCTACGTTTCGCTCAATGGCAAACCGATAAAGTCTAAATAGCTAGAGCGACTTATTTTGCCCTAACTGCTAAGATCAAATTAGTCAATAACATCTTCAAATGAAGAATATGAAGAGCATCAAGAAAGACAAGCAGGGTACCTTTAACCCGGTACAAGCATCGGTCCATGAGTTAAGTGCGAAGCCAGCAGTTCTAGGTAGATCAGGTCGCCAACATAATTGATCACGGCACTGAACGCAGCTGCTCCATCACAATATATTTATGTTTCCTACAGTTATTAAATGAAACAATCACGCTATCCGACAGAAAGCGATTAGAGCTACTCTTTCATGTAAAGAAAGCGCATGGTGTTTGTAATTGTTTATCGTCAACGGAATATTTGCAGTTGCTGTTTATACTACTATGACTATGGGCTGGGGAAAAACATACGGAGATACAATGTGTGCGTGCGCGGGCAGATGTGGGCGGGTGGCTGGCGTGGAAAGGCGTCGAATTGTTTACTTCGCTTTTTCGCTGACGAATTTTCCGCTCGATCTTGGCCGATCCTCAGGATGCCCTCAACGAACCCCTCGTCGATAGACTCACCTATTTTACGATTTATAATTTATGGAAGCACGGCGTTCACGGTCCATCTCTGCGGGTTCTCTAGCCCGCATCGGCTTGCGGTCTTTTCAGCAACGTTTTTTCTACTCTGCTGCTTCGCTGTGTTTTTTCTCTGTCAACAATGACCGACCATTCGGGCGAGCTGTAGCAGTCTAATCAGGTTGGCCATCGGCAACACGTTTCTATGCTCAGCTTAACTCTCAGCGCGTTATCAACACTAATCTGCTGCTGTTGGTAAGACGTCTACCACCATTGCACCCAGTAGTTTCTGTACGGGGAAACGCACCTCATTTTTAAGGTGGTTTAATGGTTTTTGTTGGTCCATAGCGAAGATAAGGCCGATGGCGCTCCTTAATAGTACCAGCTGGTCACAACACTTGGCCTCATGAGCTGACATGGTTGTGTGTAAAAGAGGGACGCATAGAAATCGCGGCAGGAGTTTTCAATACGCTGTCTTGGATATTTCCCGTACCCCTTGTCTAGCTCGATTAAGCTATTGTTTCGAAGTAAGACCGTGGTGCGGAATTCTATTTTATTGAAGAAGAAGACTTGCAGTTTTTGTAAATGTTCGCTACAAATGTATGGGTTGCCACATTCATCTGAGCAACTAACGCGTACGACGAAAACAAAGTATTGACAGAATGAAGAAGTGATATCGAGTGATTCTACTCAAATAATGCTCATTATCCTAAGGGCGTTCTATTTTCAAACTAACTATTGTTTTAGGCTAATCTAAATGGGGCAACGGTTTTCAGAACAGCGTACTTTGTTATCATCGTTTGTTTAGCAATGCAAGCCGCTCAAGTTAACCGGAAAAGTGCCTACTGGTAATTAAGAGAACGAGATGAAAATTTAAATTTCTATCCTCTACCCGCTATGCCACTCAACTTAGTCTTCATTCGACTTCTCGATTCGAGCAATCCATATAGCCTCAGATCACAGTTAGACGGCGGCAGGTACATTCGTCATCGTCGGGCACAAACTAATAGTAATAATAATGGGCATTGTGAGCAAAGTCCCGCAAGACGAGGAAAGATTTGCAAAATTGAAGAAGCAGTTTATTCGCAATCTATTTCAAGTGTGGTCCTCGAGGTCATCGTCAGAACCTCCTAATACGTCTCAAGAGGTTCCAATCCTATTGCGGACTTTGAGTCGTGCTTCCGAGCTATGCGATGCTGACTCTGTCCAAACCTGGTTTACTGTCAAGCTTAGCCGTCTGCTGCCGTCGCGTCTATGGGGAGTTCTTTCAGAGTGGACGCAGAGAGTTGCATGATGTGCTGTCTCTAGCTAGCATAGCAGATATGTTATTGATGGAGATATGTGTCGGTAGCCAGCAAAATGGAAATCCAATGCGAGAGCGGTAGATAACCAAGCTCCAGAGTGTAACAACGGCGGCGGCGGCGGCTTGTACACGGTAGATACAGAACGTTAGCGAGGTGCCCGCCCATCGAGCAGCCGCTAGCTTAGTGTATAAATCTTGGTAAAGAGGATCGCACAA